CTCATGTTTACCATATAATTATAAAATAAATGAATTGGAATATAAATATTGTACTTACATTTCAGTGTATAGCATATAGAGCAGGATAAACAACTCATTGCCTGTATGAAATTTTCCTTTGTACTGACTTCGCTAGGGCTTTTTATGTAGCCTGTTGTAAAACTAGGCAAATACCTGAGTGAGTTGATGTACCCCCGGAAGACCTCTGAGTACCCCCAGGGGTACGCTTACCCCTGGTTGGCAACTGCTGGTCTAGACTAGAGCCAGGGAGTTGAGACTGCTGGCTTCTATTCCTCATTCTGCCAGACCCACTCTGTGACCTTGGGCAAATCACTTCCCGTCTCTGTGCCTAAGCTTCCCCATCTATAAAAGGGGGATAATGATGCTCGCATGCCCTTGTGAAACACTTTGAGCCCTTCACGTGAAAAAGCTCTATAAAAGCACCTTATAAACCTTTGTAGAACTGGCTGGGGCGTGAGGGAGGTAACTGAAGGTTTTCCTCACTCAGATGATGGGGACTCTAAATTCGAAGGCAGCCTGCTTCATTTCCACCCAAGCTCCAGAGCAGAAACTAGCAGGGGGAGGTTAGTCACTCAGGATTGCAGCCAGGAGGCAGAGGGTTAGGGAGACTAGCCCTCGTGGGGGGGGCGGTGAGGCCAGCCCTCCTTCCATGCTGTACTCTGCATCCCAGCTCTAATCCTCCCATCCCCTACACAGCCTTTCCCTTCTCCTTAGCCCTCTTGAAGTAGTGCTGAAAGAGGAAGCCATGGGTCCAACTGAACCACCCTCACTGGGCACATTTGAAGTTGGGGGGGAAAAAGGGGATGGCATATAGGAAAGACCATCAGTCACCCGATGAAGTGGGCTATAGCCCACAAAAGCTTATGCTCAAATAAATGTGTTAGTCTCTAAGGTGCCACAAGTGCTCCTGTTCTTTTTGCGGATACAGACTAACACGGCTGCTACTCTGAAACCAGTCACCCTACAGCAGTGGTTCCCAAACTGGGGTTCACAAAGTGTTACAGGGGGTTCTTGGGAAAAAATTCCCTAATGGCGGACAGAGCTGTCCATAAGGACCCCAGGCAGTACGGGGCCAGCAGCCTGGAGCCTCTGGACTTCCAAGAGCTAAGCAGATCAAAGCAAGCAGATCTATCACACGGAGGAGATTTAAACTTCAAAACTCCTTATAAGAAATGGAAAGGGAGGTGGATATTTTTTGCTGTTTTTAAAATAAATAGGCAGCTAGTATTGTTTTTAAAATTATTATGAAGAACAAGTTTAAGCTTTGTTGTAACATGCGTTGTTAGCCTGGACTGCTCAAGACCTGAATGCTTGTGTAGCAGGAACTCTTTGAGTTGGCTTCTTAAATACCTTTATGCTGTTTCACATCTGATACTCCTTGATGAAACATAGGAGCCTTGTCTTATAACAGGCTTATTCAAAGTGATACAAGCTACGAAAGTGAGATCTTGGAAGAGTGTTGCTCTTTTCATAATGTAATAAAAATACTGTAATGATGATAAATAATAATTGATAATAAATAGTGTGTAATAAGCATGTCATAAAAACACATTTTATATTTCCAAGATCACTGCTTTTTATCATTTATACTCAGGTAAAGGAGAAAATCCCTGGAAATATTCATTTTTAGGAGGGGATTCATGAGACTTGACATTTTAGTGAAAGGGGTTCACAAGTTGTTAAAGTTTGGGAACCACTGCCCTACAGGAACAGTCCAAACTTTCTGTTTGTTCCCAAGGCACCTAGCAAGGAGTACCTGTCAGCTGGCATTGTCTTCTGAGCATTGAGATGCAAATGAGCATTCAGCAATTTCCTAAGCCCTGTTGATAAGTAAGCTTTGCATCCCCTTAGGTCCCACCTCCCCCCACCATTGCCACCTCGTTGAGGTGAATGATGGATTGTATTTCACACCTCTGTTGTTGGACTTCTGCCTCTGGAGACAATATTCTGTAAGGCTTGGAAAACAGGGTCATAGCCCTGGACTGGCTATGCACAGCATCTAATTGTGGCAGTGCATCATTATCCAACCTGTTTAAGGGCACCCACCAAAACTAAGTAACTTAATTTTACATGGCTAACCAATACCAGACAGAAATAACCAATATAATATTCATTATTAATTGAGGTACAGTACAACTTACACTAGGCCACACTGCCTTCCCAAATGTTGATGTTCAGCTACTGTACGCCTCAAATATCAGGGGGTAGCTGGGTTAGTTTGTATCCACAAAAACAACGAGGAGTCCGGTGGCACCTTAAAGATGCCTCGGTAGCTCCAGTGAAGACACTGCAACCCTGATTTACAGCCACTGAGAATCTGGCCCAGGAGTGTGTACTAGTGCTGTAGTTCACAGACTTTATTGTTCACATGACACCTTCCTGAAGAACTGATGTTTGAAGTACCAGAGGCACATTAATCCTCTTGGTTTAGGTCTTAATAGGGTTAATTAAGATATTTAGAGACACTTAGTCAAATAAGTTTTGTATGTGGCTGGTGAAGATCTGCCTGGGGGAATTAGAAGAGAAGGGAGTTTGGCTAGGGGAGTCCCTTTGGGAGGGTTAGAGGACGTGAGGTTTAGAGCAGGTTGGGAGTTTTTCACCGAAACGCTGTGATGTTTTCTAACAAAAATGTGTCAAAAACCCAAGACTTGTCACAGCAACGTAGAAGTTTCTAGGTCCAGGAAGGAATTTCTGATAAAATTAGGGAGCGGGGGTGGGAGGAGGATGGAGGGGGGAATCACAAACTTGAACTAGGATTGCCCATGGCCCAGTGAGTGCCCTAACCACTATGCTGTTGGCTGTTTTAGGGCGGGTGAGTCACTTTTATTTATTTACTGTAGTTATTATTTTGCAAACAAGTTCAGTTTGTCTGGAGGAAAGTTTTGAAATCCTGGAAAGATGGAAAAAACACTTCCTGCCCAGGTCTAATGGTGTGTAAATGGGCAGGGAAGGCTTAGGCCATGGCTACACTACAAGGCTTTTAGCGACATGGCTGTGCCACTAAAAGGCACGCAGTGTAGCTGCTGTTTGTTGGCAGGGAGCTTTTTGTCGGTAAAACTTTTGTCGTTCTAGGTGGGATGTTTTTTAAATACCCCTGAACGACAAAAGTTTTGCCATCGAAGTGCCAGTGTAGACAAAGCCTCAGAGGGGAGCTAGGGAGGTGGGGGAATGTTGGGAAGGCTCCCAGTTCCCTGCCCAGGGAGCTTTGCCGATCCCACTAAACACCCTGGCCTCTGACAGGCCTTCTGCAGTGGACTCACAACTCTTTCCTCTTGGTTAAGGAATCCCACAACCTGCCTCCTTGGGGTGGGCTGTGAATCAGGCAGGCTTCCCCAGCCCACTAGTCTCTGTTCTGGTTCTAGTTCCCAGCCCAGGGAGCCTCTCTCCTGACCTGATGCTCCCCTGTAATTCTCCTCTTCAGGCTGTCTGCCTCTCTCCTCCTGGGGGTCACCTGACACCTGGGTTTTATCATTTTAAGGAGGTAGACACCTGATCAACACCTCCCCCTCCCCCCCCGCTTTCTCAGTTAGTCTGCCGCTCCCCTGAATATCTTGCCTAAAAGGGGCCATTTCATGGAACAGGCCTCTATCCCAGTACCGCTTCCAGGGATACAATGTACCACTTCCAACAAGCTCATGTGCCACCAGTGGTACATGGACCACAGTTTGGGAACCCCTGCACTGAGCAGGCGACTAGGAACTAGCTGTGTTTTCTTCCCAGCCCTGAAATCGACTCGGCACGCAAGTTCAGGCAAGCCCTCTCCGTGACTCAGTTTCCCCCACTGCAAAAGCTGAGTGAATACCTACCTGGCAGGCAGGTTCATAAAGTGTTGATAAAGAGCTGTATACATGCTAAGCATTGTGGTTAGAGATTTGCACTAGATGTAAAATTTGGGCCTGGGTTTAGGATGACTGGGCGGTCAGGGATTTGGGTTCTAATGAATTTTTAATCATAGTTATTTTTTTAAGGGCATCTGTGAGATGACGAACAGGAGGAAATAGTAGCTCCGGAATAAAGAGAAATGGGGAACTAATAAGACCCAGGATAGGCATACTGTTTGGGTGCACTTGAGAGGCGAAAACAGCTCAAACCTCTCCTGGGGATACAATGGCCATCTCTACACTAGGACACTGAACCAGTTCAGTGCATCCCAGCTGGTTGTGCAGAACCATTTTAAGAGCTTGCTCTGCATCTGCGCTCGCACCGCTCTAAATCGTCACGGTTGCAGTGCCTTCTGGGAAACTGTCCCCCCAGTTTCTGCGGCACAGCTCCCCAAAAGCAATGCATTGCAGCAGATTTTGAAAGGTCACCAGTGCGCTAGACGTAGGACTGTTGGAACCAGTTGTGGTACGACACCAGTGACCTCCATCCACACTGGGACTAAATGGTACAGACTGGAATGGTAACTAGCCTTGCTGAAGGCAAGTTCAGTCCAGATGGTATCGGGTGAGCATGCAGCCCGTGGAGGAGCACCTTTGTGTGTGGTCGTGAGGTGCTTCACAAGAGTGCTAGGGGGATCTCATTGTCCTGAGCATGATAAAGACTCGTGGGCATGGGAGTGATCCTGTAGATGGAGGAGGAGCCTGAGGATGTGTTGGAGGGAACTAATGCTATCCAGCCAGAGAGATGGAGGAACCTTGGTGTGGGTGGGGATTTGAGAGTGGGATAGGGAGGGGAGGAGCCAGGAGGCTGTCAGATGTGCAGAGATAAAGGAAAGCGGGAGGTGCTAAGAGGAGAAACGCTAAAGAAGAATTATCTTGGGGCCTAACACTGTCCCTGGAGGTGTGTAAGGATCCAAGGCCACAGAACAGACCTTGAGTCTCCAGTTGTCTCCTCTGGCATCACCAGACTGGTCACAGCTTGCAGCTCCCCAGAGCCCTTCCCTGAGCAATCTGGTTCAGCGTCCTGCCTTGTTCACCCTGCCTTCCCTTGTTTCTCCCTCTGCAGGGTAAAGCTGATCCCCTCTCCTCAAGCTCCCCTCCACCATGGCCTCTGGGAACAGCAGTGACCCACCAGACCGTCATCGGCGCAGGGCCAGAGAGGGGCGTAGACCGTCGCTGAGGCTCAATTCAGGTAACAAGGTCTCTATTATGAACTGGGGTTTAACGTGTCTCTTTTAAATTCCTTTCTGTTTTGATTATAATTCTTGTATCCTGTCAGGTTCCTTTAAAAAGGGGAGGGGGAGAGGTACATGGGCCAGTCAAGGTTTAATCTCTGGGGACTTGATTTCAAATCTGTGTCAACACCGGCCAAGTCTTTGCTCAGGAGATGCTCGGCGCTGAGTTAGTATCTAGTGCTGCAGATCAGAACTGAGGTGCACTGGTGGAGCATGTGTGTCTCTGTCTGCCTGTCGCCCGCCCAGTCTGGAATACCAGAGGACTGCAGGACAGAAGTGAGATGCACCAGCAGAGCAGTGTATGTGTGTGTGGGGGAGGGGGTCCAGGACTGGAATACCAGAGGACTGCAGGACAGAAGTGAGATGCACCGGCAGAGCAGTGTATGTGTGTGTGGGGGAGAGAGTCCAGGACTGGAATACCAGAGGACTGCAGGACAGAAGTGAGATGCACCAGCAGAGCAGTGTATGTGTGTGTGGGGGAGGGAGTCCAGGACTGGAATAGCAAAGGGAGCTGCAGCAGGTCAGGACTGAAGTGTGTTGGTGGAGTTTGGAGGGGCGGGGAGGGGGCAGGACTGCAATAGCGGTGGGATGCAGAGGATTGAGGTGCAATGGCAGAGTGATGGGTGGGAAGCTTGCACAGCACTTGCCTAGCTTCATTGCCATTATCTCCTCCCATCCATATAGGCAAATGTACTCCATGTTAAAGAGACCCGAGACAGGCCAGGCAATGCTTAATGGCAGCGCAGTTGAGTTGAGTCGGAGAACGTCAGCTGTTGGGTAATGATGACTTTCCAAAATGTGGCTTGGCAATATCCGCATTGGCAAATTTATGGGGCAAAACATTGAAAATGTTCTGAGAACAGAGACCAAAACAAATCGAAAGGATCTGCTCCTCATTTCTGTCCCAAATGGACAGAATTGCTCTGCGCTGCCACCTTTTAAGCATGGGTGACTCTTTAACCTGTTTTACAGGTAGACTTGTACATGAGCATGAGTCACTGCAGCTCTGTCAATAACACCACTTCAGTAACTATACCTAACTGTTTATGCAGTTCACATCCAGCTCAGAGCTGTTTCACTGTCACGATTATATTATTATTTGCATTGCGGTAGCATCTGGAGGCCCAGCTAGGTTCAGAACCCCATTGTTCTGTGTGCTGGACAAATGCATAACAAGACAGTCCCTGCCTTACCGAAGCTTGTAAGGTATTAAAATCAAATCATATCAGGGCAGTCCTTATGCAGAGCACGCATTGGAACTAGTGGGATTTTGCTTGAATAACAATTGTAGAATCAGGCTGTAAACTATAACCACATGTGTTATATACACACACACACACACACACACACACACGCAATCTGAGTGGGATTCAGTGTTGGCCTCGCTCTGCTCCCAGTGAAGTCAAGAGGAAGCTCTGTCTCTATGTACATCCAGATATAACTTAGTGTTTGAAGTTAACCTAAGTTCCTGTCGCAGGCAAAAACTGCATTGACGTCAATGGAAATGGAGCAATGTGTCTCCCTCAGAGACATGCTGTGGGGTTGTTGGGTGAATGAAAGCTTTAGCGACTGGTTTGATTTAATTTTCTGGGTTCTGATTTTCCCTCATGGTTCTTTGTCCATTTTTCTTTTGCTGTTGGTAAAGAGCTAAGGGATTTATCTGCTGCTCAGGAAAAAAAAAAGTTCTCCCCCCAGAGGATCATTCTGAATTATTCCTGCACTACCAAATGTCTCTTAGGGCATGAACAGGGCTCCACCATCTTTGCCTATCCTGGGTTGCTCCTGGCATGTCCCCTATGTTGTTAAAGCATCACTGGTTCCTTAAAAAAGGCAAAAGAACTGAATTTGCTACACAAGAGGAACAAGCTAGGAAATATGGAAAGGATCCTGTGTAAATGGGAGCAAGATATTGTACCAGGAAGAAGGATGGTCCAGTGGTTAGAGCATTAACCTAGGAGTCCAGAGACCTAAGTTTCATTGCCTGCCCTGCCTAGACTTTGGAAAAGTATCTTAGTCCCTCTGTGTCACAATAGGGTAATATCTAACACAATAGCACTTGCCTACCTCAGAGGGCTGTTGCTAGGATAAATACAGTAAAAACTGTGAGGTGCCCAGATATTATGGTAATAGTGGCTTAGACAGACGAACTAGCACTCTGAGAACTAGCACTAGGTTCTATTGTGGCCTTGGGAGGATTATATGTGCACTCTTTCCTCTCTTTTCTTTCAATTCCCCTAAGGAAATGATTGAAGAAAACGTTGTTTGTATAGTATTATTTAGCTCCTATATGGAAAACTCCTATATGGAGTTCTCAAAGCACTTTACCAAGGAAGGTAAGTATCATTATCAGCTATGCAATTTGCTGGACCCCATTTAGACAAAGTGGGAATTGTTTGTTCTCAAACTGTCTGAAGTTCCTAACTTATGTCTGTCTATTTTAATACTAGCTCAGTAATATACATATAATAATGATTGCAGGATCGGGTCCTTCATTTATATACTTTTTAAGTCTTGGCAATAGGACCTTGCACTGAATGTGAAATGATCTGTATAAATAGTTGTTATCGTGGCATTGTTGTCAGACTTGCAATGACTCAATGACTTCCCCATTTACAAGGCCACCTGCAGAAAGGTTAAAAAGAGATGATGACCTTGTGTTCAAATCAGGGTTAATATTCTCCTGAATTCTATAGGTTTGGGACCAAAACCCAAACAGGATTTTCTATCTGTTTCTTCCAGCCCTGCAAATCAGATTGCTGACACACAAAATAGGGATGTTCTGTAGGATTTTCCCACCAAGTTATATTTATACTCCATAGATATAACCAGTGGGAAGTCAAATGAAATAAGGAATATACCCTAAATGAATCAATTCAATTGATGCACCATCAGGCAGCAGTGTGGAAGATCAAAGCTCCGATCTTGACTCAAAGGGCTTCTGCAGTCCCATGGCTAAGGTATCACCTTAGATTTTGGGGATGGGAGCACCATAGCAGCCCATAATATGCAATTGGTGCAGCAGTCTGTATCAATAGTTAAGGTATGGGGAGGCACTGGTGTCTAGGGGTTAAAACAGGAAACCAGGACGCTGCCAAATCCGTGTGGGGCCCTGAGCAAGTCACAGCTCTGTGCAAGGGGTGGCTTTTCCCCTTGACCAGAGGCTGTATGTCAAATCCGCATTTAAATGTACTCAGGGAGCCTTTGACATTAGCGCCTCGTTAGAGCAACAGGGGCTAGAGATGGCTTTTCTGTAGATACAGCTATAACTTAGCTAGAGGGAGGCTGGGTGACTAGGTCATGAACATTACTATTAATCATGTTTATTATGGTAGTGCCTAAGGGCCAGCCAAGAACGGGGAGGGGTTGGGGGGGGGGCATTGTGCTAGGAGCTCTAGAAACAGAGTAGCAGACGCTTCTGAGCGGTTTACAGTCTAAGCAGACACAACAGACAGGTGGGCGAACGGGCAGAACACACAAGCAGAGCGAACCATGTGATGGCAGCAAATTGCATGTTAATTCCATTGGAGGGGGGGATACTTAGGAGGAGATCAGCTAAATGGAAGGAAAAGGAAGAAAAAGGGGTGAAGAGGATAGGGCAGGGGAAAAGAGGGTAAGAGGGGCAGGTGTGGTGTGAAGCTAAGGGGGAGGGAGCAGGTTGGAGCGAGCAGCACAGGGCAGAGAAAGTCCAGTCTAAACTATAGACTGTTCCCCGATTCACAGGACTGGCCCCGCCACGGAAGGAGGTGGGAATGGGAGCCAGGTACTTTTTTAATGAAAGCTGTTGGCTCCTATAGAAAGCAATGGAAAATGCAGGAAGAGGCCAGGCTGGCTAGGTCTGTTCCTAGCTGGTCATTTTTGTGACTGTGAGACAGGCTGATCCATAACCGCTCGCACTGCTTGTGACTGCCGAGTGGGACACAGGGTTTGGGAATGAACTAGTCACCTTGCAAAGGCGGAAATGCCAGCCGACAGTCAGTGTAATCTAACCGTTTTGCCTCAGAGGTCGGAATGATTGATCAGAAATCCAATCAGCCATAGATCCACCTGGAAGCATCGTGTTGTGGGTACAGCACAGGGCTGAGAGTTAGGACTTCTGGGTTCTGGCCATGGCTTTGCTACCAAATTGCTGTATGGCCTTGGGCAAATCACTTGACCTCTTTGTGCCTCAGTTTTTTCATCTGTAAAATGAAGGTAATATGCAAACCATTGGGAGAGGTGAGGCATAACTCATTAATGTCTGTAACACCCTTTGGGATCCTTGGATGGAAGGGGCTATTCTTATCTAGTCTGGCATCCTACCACCCGGAATAGCCAAGACCTGATGCTTCAGATGTGGTGGTTGAAGCCTACCCATACCTGGGTCTAGAAAGACCATTTACAAGTGGTTGGAAAATACCCCCAATACCCATCCTTCACGTGACCATGCTGTGGAAACCAGCTTCAGGGCGATGATCCTGCTTATGCGTAAGGCTAAGATTTAGTCATGGTATTTTTAATAAAAGTCATGGACAAGCCATGGGCTATAAACAAAAATTTACGGCCTGTGACCTGTCCATGACTTTTACTATAAATATCCCTGACTAAATCTTAGCTGCTCAGCGGGGTCCCGGGGACCAACAGCTGGCCCCTGCTCTGGCGGCGGGTGCTGACTACCCCTGGCTGCCCGCTGCTCCGAGGCCCCCAGAGACCACTGCTCAGGCAGCCTCCAGCACCACTCAGGGTGGCTGGCCCCGGGACGGCCCTGGGGTCAGCCACACTGGCTGCTGCAGCGGTCATGGAGGTCCCGGAAAGTCATGGAATCCGTGACTTCTGTGACAGTCTCGCAGCCTTATTTATGAGCCATCTGATGGTCCCTTCTTTTTCTTAGCCTGCGAAGGATAGCAAAATAGGTCGCTGCATGGTGCTCTCTTGCAGCACCCTCTGGAGTGGATGGAGGTCTGTTGCTGGGCAAAGGAGA